ATCCAGGTGCCTCGTCGTTCCGGCCCTCGCCTACGGTGGTTCATGGTCCTCGGGAACTTCTACAAGAATTCACCATTGCACTTCGCAATGCATACCGTGAACCTTTCACGGCATGGACACAGGGTGAGCTGGATGAGATGGTGCGACGGAAGAAAGACAAGGATTCCAGGCCCACCTATAAGACCATAGCTCGGTTTCTTCAGAAGCCGATTGAGGAGGTCAAGCAAGCATGGAAGGTCTATCAACAACTTGAGACTCGCGGCTAGGAACGCGGTCGTCAAATGCAGCAGCGACCATCGGAGGACTAAATGGTAGGCCGTGGCGGCGTGTTCGGCTCTTTTTGTTGATCACATGCCATTTGCTTGCTTGCACGTGACTTGCTCTTGCTTGCCGGTTTTGGGAGATGCCGTTAACATGAAGTGAAGTCATGACTGAGTTGCTCAAATCATGTCGGAAGAAGTTGTACAGACGTACATTACCTGGACCCATGGAGCACAGCCGACGTGGTTACAATTTCATGGACCCGGGGCTTTACTCGACAGACCCATTCGGCAGACTACGTCGCCTCCGCCCCCGCCAAGTTTCCCATTGCTTCTTCCACCTCCTCCTCCACCACCACCACCACCACCGGTGATTCTACACCCACAGTTTATGCCCTCGGTACGCAGCTCCTCGCTCTCAGCCCCTCGCGGACAATCCTGCCCTACCTCTTCGAAATCGCAGCGCACACGCCGCTCGATCTACAGCACTGACCATTCCCGTGATGAGGAACCACGCAGTCCAGGGCGCTCGTCCAAACGATCTCGGACAGCATCCGCTTCAGCGCCGCGGCGATCTCGACGGCCCTTTACAGTGTTTCCTTCCAAAAGTTGTGCCGTTCCTTTTTTTTCTCTTTTTTTTTCTCTTTTCCTTTTTTCTTTTTCACTTTCCTTTTTTTTTTTTTTTTTTTTTTTTTCTTTCTTTTTTTTTTTTTTTTTTCTTCTTTTTTTTTTATTTTTTTTTTTTTTTTTTTTTTTCTTTCTTTTCTTTTTTCTTCTTTTTTTTTCTTTTTCTTTTCTCTTTTTTTTTTTATTTTTTTTTTTTTTTCTTTTTTTTCTTTTTTTTTTTCTATTTTGTATATGTTTTTTTTATTTTGTTTTATTTTTTTTATTTTTTTTTTTTTTTTTTTTTTATTTTTATTTTTTTTTTTTTTTGTTTTTTTTCTTTATTTTTTTTTTATTTTTTTTTTTTTTTTTTTTTTTGTTTTATTTTGTTTTTTTGTTTTTTTTTGTTTTTTTTTTTTTTATTTTTTTTTTTTTATTTTTTTTTATTTTTTTTTTTTTTTTTATCCAGTTCCCCATCGGCAACTTGCAAACACTACTGTCATGCCATCCTGCGCCATGGGCGGAAATGTCTTTCTCCTTGTGCTCGCCGACGACCAGGACACTATCATTGCAGGTGTGCGCGACATCAACGACTGTGAAACCTAGGAGTCGGACATTCCAGACCTAGTTGCTGTGTTTCACCTTGAGTTTGAAAAGTTGCCTCACTCTCCAGCGGATGTGCGCGGTTTGCAATGCATGTGTGTCTTTGCCGCAGACTTTCGACTAGTTTTAGCTGGCGAGCCTGTATTGCCGCTATGAACCCCCAGTATTTCGAGTACCAGATCGACAGAGGAGTGGAATGGATTCGAATTTACTCTCCGGGCATTTGGAGACCCGTTCCCGATGATGCTCCAGTTCCTGACCCACTCCACGTTTCCACGTATCGGGAGTGGCGCAGATCATATCACTTCCAAGTGTACTGGTCGGAAGACAGCACCGGAGGCACCACCACGGATCCCATAGTCACGCCCAGTTCCTATGTGTCTTACCACGTGTGGGAGTACCGAGACTGGCAAACACAAGGGTATCAACGACTTGGAGCTCCTGTACAATCCATCGGATTCGCGATGCTCGTGAATGCAGACGTCGATTCCTCGGTGGGCTCATCGGTACCGGATGGGGCGTGGCGGGAACCGTCGCCGCCACCATTCCATGATCCTTGGAATGATTCGGAGTGACACTTGAGTAGCATGCCAGATAAAGAGGCGGTTGTGCTTGCTTTGTATGTGAGTCCACGTTGAGTTGTCTTGCTTGGTGTTGTACATTCCGTCTCAATTGGTTCGCCGCCTTCCTCCATAACTTTGAGCGGCTTGCCGGGTTGAAATGTTCAATAGTACAGTGCAGGGTGCAGCCGGATGGGTCCTACCTCGCTATTTTGACTACGACATCGTCAATGGGCCAGCAAATACGAGTGTGGAATGGATTCGGATCTATGTACCAGGTCAGTGGCATCCAGTCGCCGCGAACACCCTGGGACCGGCCCCGGAGGACTCAACCACCTATCGGGAATGGCGCAAGGTCCATCACTTCGAAGTGTATTGGCCTAGGGAAAGCACGGGCGGCACCACACAGGCACGGTTTCACAACCGGTATCCTATGCAACCTTCTATACTTGGTATTACAGGGACTGGGTCACCAGGGGATACCAACGTCTGGGTCGTCCACGACCCAGCATCGCGAGGCCAGTTTTCGCTTCGGGTGCACCGGACCTCATGTATGCTGGATTGACCTCCTCCTCGGCATCATCCAATTCACATGATGACTGATGCCCGTCCTCGACTTCCTGGGGAGTCTGTTCAGTTCAATTCGATTCGGGAGATTGACTTCGATGTTGGAGCCGCGTAGCGCTGCAAAAGGTCTTTTGCATTGTGATAGTTGTTTCGCTTTCAATTATTGTTTGCTGCAGCCGTACACCTATCAATTTGTCTTTCCGTGGTTTCGTTGTCATGGCGTGGCTGGAATGGTGTCCGGATCCTCAACAACCAGATGCCCAGTGGGTCAAGATCTTTCATCCGGGACCATGGACGCCACATGAAGAACATGATGCTCCACCTCCTCCACATACTTTTAGAGAATGGAGGGAGTACCATACTCCCAGCCAGGACTCAGTCGGTGGGCAGGTCCAAGTCACTACGTGGTACAAACGAGACTGGGCCACAGAAGGCTATCGGAGAGTCGCTGCCCCTCACGCTGGTCATGAATTTGATTCCATGTATCTCCCTGATCATCACAGCGTGGCCACGCAGTCTGCGGCATTGACTATGTCACCGGAGCTGTTAGACGCGATTCTCAGGTCCTCGGATGCGGCTGATTTCTCTACCGAAGAACTGACTCGTCTCCAGGAGGGGATTTCTCAACAACTGACAGCTCGCGCACGTCAAGCTTCCCAACCTCATCAACCAGTACGTGCATCGCGTGGAAACACACCATCGGAGACGATTGGGGTCTCCGAGCCCTACCGGCCCGTGAATCCTTCCGACAGCGGCAGGGACAAGGTGAGGTCCATCTTCGAGCTGACTGAGGACTAGACTCGCATGAGTGATGCAGCGTACAAAATAAGGGTGGTCTCTACACTTGCATGATCTTGCTTGGTTGTTGTTTGAACATGGTTGTGCATGGTGCCTGTTCCACTACTAGCTGGATCGGAGCCCGCGACAATCCTTGCCTCTCACTTCGACATGGACATCGATGATTCGAAGCAGCACCCATGGCTCGAATATTCGGTCTGGCAGGAACAGGAGTGGGTGCGGATATACACTCCAGGACAGCCTCAACGATGGCACCGCGGTGACGCCGTACCTGATCTACCTGAAAATTCTTTTCGGGAATGGCAGCGGGTGACTGATCCCAATGAGCCGGTCCAGGCATGGGACATCCGTGACTGGCAACATCAAGGGTACCAGCGCATTCTGTCTCGGATTGAGTCCTTCGCAACTCACTATCCGCATGATCAATCTCTTGGTCAAGTTCAGGACTCCGATGCCGTTATAGTTGAGGAGACGTTCACCTACGCCACTCCTTTCTCTCATGGTGATCGCCAGGCTGCTTCGCAAATCGCTTCAGTCCTCTGTGGCGACACTCGCAACGCTCAACGTGGTGATCTCTCGTTCCCGTCTTCTGAGCGGTTTAGGGCTGTGTCTCGCTCCCCTCGCCGTGGTGGATATTTTGGTCGACGATAGAGATTCCAGATGGAGCATGTGATCTTCCTGCAGAAAAAAGAGAAACCTCGCCCCTCGTAGAGGGGCGTGTGTGTGCGGAGTGGCAGAGAACCCTGCCACCAAAACCTTTTTCTGTTGCAGCAGGGGGACCAGGCGTCTTGCTGCTGACCTGGTCTAACAAAGCTAGGCAGCAAGACGGGATACCGGAGTTGGCCACTCCGGCAGTTCCGTGATTCCGTGATGCCGTGATTCTGAAAGTCCTTTTGGCCCCCTTGGTTGCGGCGCTGTTTGTGCTTCTTGTTCTTTCGGGTAACGTGTTCGCTACTAGAGGGAAGCCGAGTGCATCGCGAGCAGAACCTAGTCGAGACTCATCAGTTGTACTCGAGACTCATCAGTTGTACTCGAAAGATTAGCACTCTCCATCTGGAGTTCAAGTGTGTGCTTGTGTTGAGTCAGTTTTCACATCTAGAAAAGCCGTTTTTGAATGGATTTTCCTCAATATCTATCCGACGCTTTCTCCAACTTTCTTTTTTTAGGAATCAGGTCATTTGAGAAATACCCTTATCTAAAACTTCCAATTTTGAGGAAACAACTGGCTGTGGGTTAAACCAATGGTACCATTTTGGAGAAGGTGCACCACCCATTTTAGTCTATGGTGGGGATTGGGATGTTCACTGAGAATACGGGATTTTGACCCATGGCCAGCTGGGAACCACCATCCATTCTTCTAGGGGTTGATTCTGCATTCATTTCAACCATCCTTGTTTTCAAGCACCGGCTGCTTCCAGCCTGGTGTTTTTTTGATGGTTTCCTGAAAAGATTCGGATTCGGATCCCAAAAAGAAAGATTCCGGAAATGGATCTTTCAGCACCAAAGCATTCCACTCACCTCAAAGAACCCAGAGGTACCCCGAGCGAAAATTCCGGGGGTCCCAACTTCCGTCGAGCGAATTTCCGTCCCGTCCGGAAACGGAGCGGAGGGGACAGCACCGCGGCGGCGCTGGCGCTGCGGTGGCTTTTGCGCTCGACCTCTAAGGCAGGGACGGCGATGAGTGCGCGGATGGGAGGTAGGGGCGATGAGTGGATGGTTTATTTTTATTTTATTTTTTTTTTTTCTTCTTCGTCTCTTCTTCTTTCCTTCTTCCTTTCTTCTTCATTTTTCTTCTTCTTTTCTTCTTCTTTTTTCTGCATTTTTTTCTGGGAGCTGCGCCTGAAAGGGTACCAAGTCCCCAGCAAACACGCCCGTGTGCCCGAGCAATGGCCCAGGCATCGAGGCCGCCCTTGTGGGATGATGTGGAGGTGCGGGTCCCGGCGAACCCCTGGAGCCTCCAAATTCAGGGCTCCCTAAATTTCCCTTTCCGGTGGTTTTAAGCATCACCTTTTTCGACCATGAACCCTGATCCCTGGGGGGGTGATGATAAGGGAAATATAGAGAGCCCTGAAATTCGACAAAGGGTAGCAACATAAATGCACCATATACAC